GCGGCTCGTTGTTCGGGTGAATGCGTATTTGGCTGTGTGGCGTGAGTGTGTGATGTAAAAGTCAACAATGCAGGCGATGCAGGCAGTTTGTCGCTTATGTGTTTGCATAGGCGCTGTCACCGCTGTCACCTCTGCTCAACCTGATGCAACACCATGCGTTACCGAGACCTCGCCTCACTGGCGTTCTCTGGATGACGCCGCTCGATGCGCTCTCACCCTTCTACCACGTCCCCATTCCTCTGCGGGAGGAGCGGAAGGACAGTGAGGATGATGGGTGTGAAGAAGGAGACGGTGTCTACCCCACACCTACCTGTCTGCGTTTCCTTACCATCACAGCCTTCCTCACGAACTGGGTGGCATGGCTGTCACGGATGGAGGGCTACGCGGCCCTCGGTATGTCGCGATTTCATCCGATGCTCATCAGTGCCCCTGTGGCCGCCTGCTTGCTGCAGCCCTTCAGCCTGGGCTGCGGTCAGACGCCTCTCCTTGACCTCTGGCCCATGTGGGTGCTCCGCCGCCTCCTCACCCTTTCCCTCAGACTTCCTCAACTCAAAATCCCCTTTCTTCACCACAGTCGCCAACATCTACGATGCCTATTTCCATTCTCAGACCTCGACGAGATTTAAAGCTGCACTGCTTCTTACATCTTTGTACCTTTCATATTTACTACCTCGTCTGAAATAAATCTCATTATAAACTCGTTATCAGGACTTATTTGGATAAATGTACATTCATAGGGCGGCAAACGTTATACCGTACACTTTAAATACAAATTTTATTGTAGTCAACAGCAATTAAATGCAGATTGTTCATTGATTCCCGCTCTTGAAGGAAGCAGATTTTGAACATTTGAAGAATGTTGCTTTTGCATTCCATCAACCACAAATAGCAAATGTAAAAACGCTGCAATCAGTCCAATGCTGTTGCTGTCCTACCAGTTTGCCTTTGTTTTTCGCTATCCTTTGTCCGTGAATCGCTTTAATCACTGACACCCTTTATTTGCCGAGAGAGATAAATTGGCTTGACAAGGAAAATGCGGAAGGAAATTACGGAAGTGACTATGAAAATTGAACATACCTATAGAAGTCATCTCAAGGTTGCAAGGAGAGCTTTTGTTCTATGCCCTTCATCTCATTCTTACTTTTTGTCAGGGATTTGGAGCACAAATATCCACTGAGGTGTTCTAGCAGGCATGGACAGGAAGGTGGCAGTCTAGTGTTAGAAGCTAAAGAAATATAAGAATACACCAAAATAGATTGCTGGAGTTGGATCTGTCCCAAAATACGCGTACACGTTATTTAGTGTATGAATTAATATATCGTCACCACATTCCCTCACGTCCAGATAATAAAGAATGCTGCAAATTTAGTCGCTGTGTTACTCAAGGGTAGCCGAATGGATAGAAATGAATGACTACACATATGTGAGCAGACAAGACTGAGAAAGAAAAAGTAATTTATAATCCGTGCTAAAGATTGTAGAAATGATCGTGCAAGCCGGATTGGCGAAATGGATGGTCTTTAAGCCACTTGGTTATGAGGAGAGAGCCGTGCGTGCTGGGCCATGTAATTTGCTGAATGTTTCTGTTTGGTTTGCTAACTTCCTCTTTCGTTCAGCTTCCACTCTTCTATATGGAGTAAAATATTCATTGTAGCAGCATGGCGGATAAATCATTGATGGGCATGTCAGTGATACTTAACACCAACTATCACTTCTTCAAATCATGCTGAATCATCTCACTTCAACACAAGTTTCAGTAACCGATGATGGTCACTACTAGCATGACTCCACTCTTTCAATCGTCCCGCACTAAAAGACGAGAGATTTGGACCAAAAAATCCTGAACGGTGGAGTTCAACTGTGGTATATCTCAATTCAGGGGCATGAACATCATTTTTGTCCTTTGAATTGTCGCATTTTCCCTCCACACTGCTCGAGTCATTGATAAAACACTTTGAAAGCACAAGACATCTTGGATGTATCCGGATGATGTGGTGAGGTAGACAATGCTGGTTACACAATTAAACATGCTGCACATGAGCCAGCAGGACAAAATTTAGCCTCTCAAATGCTCGAGGAAATCAAATTTTGAGAGGGCAAATGACAACCGGTAATAAGTTGATCAAAAAAGGCTGCGACAACCGGTCATTCGTAATGTGACGCAAACATTCGTTTAAAAACACGATATTACGCTTTCTACCAGTTAGTTTGCACACTGTCTCCTGGATATCGCGTTCGTCCGTAGGTGTTGTGCAGTCCTTCTCTTTTTTGCTTGGTAATTCATTCATGTCCGTAGCTCTTTCAAACTGTCTTTATATGCTAGCTGACCAAGTAAGTGGTGAGGATTATTGACGAAATTGTAGCAAGACACGAAGGACATCACATTTAGGCAGGCTGAATGTCTGCACTGATGGCATCACCTCCATCATGTCCCCCTGACTATAGCAGGTAGACGTAGGTGGCGTCAGTCTTGGTACAGCTGACGCCTGCGTCGACGAAACCGTCGTGTAATTGGCGATGACCCAAGTGCTGTGGGCACAACATTAAGTTACAAAAAGAACTCACAGCAAATATTTTTTTTGAGTGTAGCATCGAATTATTTTTAAACTTCATCATGGAGCTACCTAAGTGAAGGCTAAACAGATAACTTTTATGTGACCAACTAACCAGCTGCATTCCGAGTTGGTATAAATGACAAAAGTAACTCAAGTATATTTTTTTTACTCAGCATACCAGCAACAACACAAGCACAGACACTTACACAGTCTTCTACTTTGTTAAATTCTTGGGAACAGATCATCATCGAACTGATTTAGGTAAACATTACGACACTCTCTTCATCGGCAGTGCCTTCTAAGGAAGTAGGACACCAGACTATCCGGTGGTTATCATTACTCCATCACTAAATCTTGTTTTGACTGGCCCTAGCCTTTTGTTATTGACCAACATGGACTCACCTCAAGTGCAAATCAAGAAATGTACTGGAATAAAATCGACACATGTAAATAAAGTGCTGCTGCCAATATCTGGATGGATCTTCACTCTGTCATATCGTGCATTCTGTCCACAGACGAAGTGAAAGTGAGCAT